GAGCCGAAGAATCGTAGTTAAGCCGAGTAGTCGAACGGGACAGTCGAAGCCGGTAGCGCGATCGGTAGGCCAGTTAATTGAGAAGTGATTCCAATAATATTGCCATTTAGATATTTATGCAGTAGTGCGAGTCGACAAGCGAAGGGATCGCAGGGAACGGCGCTAACAAATTGTACGCGCTCGGTAATCGCCAGACTGTAATAGACGACGGGAATACTTCCACTGAATAAAGTACCGTTTATTATCAGAAGCACGAATAATTGATTATCAATGCACGTAGAAACGTCCCATGCCAAATTTTATCTCCCTGAGCTTTATTTGCAATATAAATTGACAACAACCTCCCAAGGACGCAGGCGCCGCCCCACCCACAGGTCAAGCGAGAAGCACGGCGCGACAGTAAGTTCGAGGGGAGAATCGGTAGACTATCCTTCGTTCTTGGAGGATAAAGAACGTGGCGACCGTAGGACGAAGAGTTAGGAAGGACAACCGAATGTCCCGGAACAGGCAGTTCCGGTGACAAGCACAAGTGAGGTTTAGTTATTATTATAGCACACAACAAAATTAATTAAAATAGACCCTGTCCTTTACGTTAAATAACATTTTGTTATTTTTAACTTCAATATGTGTTAAAATTCATTCATCTTTCAGTTTCAGAATAAATAGCGTTTGTATTAATAATTAAATTTTAGGCAAATTTTATATATTCTCTTGAATTAAAGTCATCATTTTAGTTAATTTAACAGCATATTGAGAAAAATGAGTGACGATCTACAAAAATGATTGAAAACAATCCAAATTGGATAAAATTCAGTATTATGAATTTAATAGTAGATATATACTTTTATATATTTTAGACTATTTATACGCATAAAACTAATTGCAAAAATTTTATAAAATATTTTCAATTTTAAGTGCTAAAATGAATAGTATTTATTTTGTTAGACATTGGTAGTATAATCAATAAATTTGAAATATTCGCTTTTGCGTATAAAATAAAAAACGATTAATAAAACTTTTTCTATCCTAATTATGGCGTTAGCATGTGGGTATAAGTGTTCTAACATATATAAACGGATAACACAATTGCTGTTTTATAATGTCCCAATTTTTTACATAAACATTAGATGAAATTTATTCACATGACCGAACTTCCATGAGCGCTAGTAGAATTACGAATAGAATAATTAATATTCTACATAAAATCTTATTGTAATTATTTACCTGTTCACGTAACTCCCCGTCGAGATTATAATTGAACAATTTGTGAAGAATTGTTACTGTCGTTTATCTGAAATCGTTTTAAAACAATATGAAAGTTTTTAATAAAATTGAAAATTTTAAACCCAAAAGGTTGTGACAGGTTTGGAATCCAAATTCGATATGTGTAATTTTAATGTTGCAAAATTGTTCCTTGTGCTTATAATATTAATTATAAATAATTAGTAATGTTTTAATTTTACTCTATCTTATAGTAAACAGTTTGACATATGTAGTTTAATATGAGTAAGAAGATGTTATGCAGAATGTATCTGGAGACACGGTAGTGTCTCGGCACTAAGCTATGGCGCCA